ATGTGATTACATCATGACATCATGAAGGAGGCTACTGATTCTGGCCCTGTGACACTTGGTGGTGACGTGTGAGCTGATTCACCTGGTAAATAACTTTTACATTAAATATTTTGTTCTTTGCTATCAAAAGTAAATTAACTAATAGCCTGCATTATTGCAGGACACTCAGCAAAATATGGACTCTACACCATGAGGCAGGCACACGTTAATACTCTATAAGAGCACATAAGGTGAGCAACACCACAGATTATTGTTATTACTGTACACTGTCCCGGATTTGTTTTCTTTCTGCATGATTTGTTTTCTTATCTGCATCTCATCATTAGTCTGGCTGATCACCTGATAACTCCTGTCATCTGGTTATGACAGCATGAGGATGTCTTCACACACCTGTAACCTATCAGCTCATCTGGCAGAATAGAGAGAGAAGAGACAACACCACATCTCCTGTTCCTGGAAAGCCTTCAGCCATCCTTCGATGACTGAGAATCTCCATCAGCTCTGTCTCCTGTCTGCCTAAAATTATTATAATAAATAGTGTGTTTGACAAGTTTTTTGTGCTGCCAAATATCTCATTTTGATTCCAGTTTTGATATTTTAATGGATATTTATAAATTACATTAATTGAATTATCACATGCTTAACTAGCTCTATTGTGATGAATTAAACTAGCACCTCACTGTTAAAAGCTTGTTTTAATTTTAAGCATTTTTAAGTATTTATGGACATGAACAAAAACTGGAAATATATAAATTGAGATTTATTTAATTAATATAACAAATAAGGGGGAAAGAGTCATTGAAAGGCACATTCTTCTGGAAGCTCCTGATCCTGACGACACCAGCAGGAGACCAGCTGCAGCCACCAGAGGATCACCTGCAACCAAGAGCAGCTAGTATCAGTAATTAAAGAATGAAATCAGGGCAGTTTTAGTGGGCTGAACACATTACAGAATAACTTCCTCATGGGATATTTTCATAACTTTATGCAGCAGACTGTAACTTGAGCCCAAAGCTCATGGAGAGCTGCTATCCAGCACGTTTCAGTGGATTTTCCTGCTTTAACAGGTTAGATTAGCTGTTAAGCAGCTCAGCTATTTGTTGCTGATTAAAACCAGGTGTGTTGAAGCAGATAAATCTCTAAAACATGCTGAATACTAGCTCTCGGGCCGTGGAGCCAAACCCTGCAGTATGTACAGTCTATGAATCTGATGCTATGGCTAACGGCTACTTACCATTCAGAGCTGGTTCTGTTGGGTCGGTTCCGGTAATTTCAGGCAACTCACAAGCTCAAAACAATAAGGCTCAGGTCCGCTTGTCTCCTCCAAATAGACTTGGTCCCTTTCTTCTCGAGTGTCTGGGTAAGGAGGGGGAGAAACGTCCTCCACTTCTAATAACTGCTCAGAGTGAAGGGAGCTAGCATCGTCTAGTTAGCCATCGTCTTCGTCACTGCCGCGACTCCACCCTCTTGGTCCTCCAGGCAACGCCTACTAATGTTGCATTTTTTTAAATTGATACGTGGGTGGAGTAAGACTCTGAGGGGGACATTACCATGTCTTTAAAAACTGACCATTACCGGACATTACACAATAAAAAAAATGGTATGGTATGATGTCATTATCTGTCATGTTTGTAAATGTTAGCGTTGTGATCAATGGGCTGACGCTTGATTTGAAGAACATCGAGAATTGGATTCACATTGGAATTTCTGATAGAAACATCGTAATTCGATATTTTCCTAAAATCTTTGGCTGGCCACAGCTGCTTACCACTTTCAGTAACACATCAGCGAGCAGAATAAATATTTTCTATATTGTACAAACAAAAACGTTATTCAGGGGATTCATTCATTCATTAAATCAACTCTATCTGTGTCCTACTAACAGTGTTGGGAGTAACGCGGTACAAAAGTAATTAATTACTGTAATTCATTGCTTTTTGCTGTAATGTGGTAATTTAAGGCATAACAGGGAAAGAAAATGGTAATATTTACTTGGTACAATTGTCAGTAATGCGGTAATTACAATGCGTTTTTAAACCCAGAATCAAGTTGTGGGTTTTCAAATTGCGGGAAGCCTGAAAAAAGATCCAGTATCCACATATATTACGTCATTCATGGACTCGGCTTTGCGGGCATTCTATGAGCAGAGAGGACGCAGCAGTAATGGCCCAAATACTCCAGCTGCGTCCTGCGCGCGGCCGCTGTTATATTCACAAAATTGCTCCACCAAAACAAAGTAATTTGTTTGTGATAGTTTATATCAGCCCATATTCTCTGGTACTTCATGTACTTTTCAGCTGAGTTCATAATCTGTGCCCCGTTGATTTCAACTCATTGCTGCTGGAGCGCAGCGCTTTTTGTTTTTTTGCGTTCGGTAGATCCCTTTGGCTGACTAGTTAGAAAGTAGGAAATCTAGGAAACAGTTTTTCTGTAAGACGGAGAAAACATGCAGCATGCAGGGAGGTTAGAGAGAGAAAGTGCAGGAAATCATTCAAATAAAAATCAAGAAAACAAAACAAAGTGCTTGAAAGGAAAAAAATTAGGTAGATTTATCCCCAATACACATTTTTACCAGTGACCAGCAATAATATATGCGCATTTAATATTTATACATGTGATAGAATCAGATCACCCCAGAAGGCAAATATAGGCTTGGAGCCCCCACCACCTCACTCCCTGCTCAGTTAATATAAGATGGCAGCGTGCTGAGAGTACAGATTGTTGTTGCTTTTATTTAATAAACAATCATTTTAAAGCACCGTTATTGTATCTGACTGTTTTTAACAGCAACCCTAGCTCAGATATCACATCACCTTCCACGTATAAGTCATGAGCTCACTGAGCGTCAGATTACCAGATTCATATTGAAGTTGTTTTTTGTGAAAGTAACTTAAAGTAATGCAAAAGTAGTGTAATGCCTTACATTTTAAAACCAGTAATATTGTAATGTAATGAATTACTTTAAAATGAGGGTAACAAGTAATAAATAATGCATTACAGTTTTGAAGTAACTTGCCCAACACTGCCTACTAACCAGCTTATTTTCACTTTTGATTACAAAAGCTAAAGATCATTCATAAGATTAGAGTCTGTAGAGCAGGGGTCACCACCTGCAGTAGAAACACCTTCACACTTCAGCAGACCTGGTTTTAATAAATAAATAAGAGGGTAGGGAGGTGATTAAATCATCAGATACAGGTGTGCTGGAGCAGGAAATGTAAAACCAGTGGCTCCTGAGGACTGGAGTTGGGGATCCCTGATCTAGCAGCAAAACAGAAAATAAGAATTAGTAACAACTTTCTGTTATTAATAGTTATTTAAGCTGTATGCAGCCATGGGAATAGATTACTATTGGGACTGGAGCTGAAATGAGAGCCCAATAAAGAGGAAGTGTGCTGTAACTGATGGCAAACTGACATGATTTTGTACAACGTAGACATAAAAATGAAAAATCTCCTGAGAGATGCTAATAAATAGTGCTGGGTGCCAGGTGGCTTTTATATTTTCTTGATTCAAACAAAGGAAGTGTTTGTAGAAGAAACTCACTCCAGTCTATCACTGTGATGACTACTTTGACTACTGGGGAAAAGGAACAATGGTGACGGTCACATCAGGTAAAACTACATTTATTGTCTCTATTCTTTATTTTAATATAAATCACAATTTTAAATTTGGATGTTTCGACCTCATAGTCCAGGGTTTCTCAACGGGGGCTGTAGCGCCCCCTAGTGGGCGTTCAGACTACATAAGGGGGCGGTGAAAGTTTTTTGCCACTGAAGGGGGCGCTGAGATGCTAATGGTGGGCGCTAGCAGTACAGAACATTCATAACAGACAATGGCTCAGAATAAAAAGAAGTGTCGACAGTACAATGTGCACTACCTTCGGTATGGACGTATTCCTTCACCCACGAATCCACAACTCCCCATGTGCCTGCTTTGTGAAAAGTTTTTTGAAACGAAACGATGAAATCCTCCCGGCTTAAGGAGTCCAAAATGCATCCAGACAAAGCTTTAAAGGAACTGAACTATTTTCAGGTAATTAAAGAGAGACACTCTAAAAGAGGTAGCATTAGCAGTATGTTTGCTCGAAGCTCAAATTTACTGGACCGAGGATTATTAGCTTCCTACAATATCTTGTTGCTAATAGCTAAAAACACTTTTTATGATACTTTTTTATGACATATTTGTATGAAACAGTTTCAAACTCAAGGCTGAATTGTTTATTTATTTATTTTTTTATTATGATTTTTATTTAAAAAAAACTTTCCATTTCTCTGCATGGGACATTGGTGGGCAGTAAGGGATTTCAGCATGACTTGGGGGGGCGTTTAGCTGAAAAAGGTTGAGAAACCATGTCATAGTCGATGTCTCTTTATTTTATGTTGAATTACATAAACATTTCACTGTGACCGTGGGGTAAAGGGACAACAGTCACGGTCAAAACAGGTAAAAATATTCTTTATTCAACATGTATTAGTCACATCAGAAAGTTGTATATTAAGATGTTGATAAGAATGGACATCAGGGGCGTCTGCAGGGTCTTTGCAGGGTTTTTGTATGTTGGACATGTTGAGTTATTACACTGTGATGGTGCTTTTGACTACTGGGGTAAAGGGACCACAGTCACTGTAACATCAGGTAAGATCTTCATATTTATTTGTCTGTGTTGTTTATTTAGACTTTTAAAAAGTTTTATTTTTCTTTTTTTGTGTCACACCGGTCCATTTATTTCTGCAGAACTTTATAGCAAACCCATTACAAACAGTAGACCCAGTTTAAGCCCAACTAGAGCAAAATGATTTAGTTAAATCTTTTGTATTTTTATTCCTATAATTATTACAGCTTTGAGACATTAGATTTCCATAAGACATCCAGTCGTGGTAACCACGTTAACCTGTGAGTAGGTTTTAGTATTGGCTAGTTAGTGATTTGTTTTACTGTGACTACGCTTTTGACTACTGGGGAAAAGGAACAACGGTCACCGTCACTTCAGGTATGAAAATTGACCACTTCCAACTAGTTCATACAATTTGTTGTAACGTAAATAAAAATGTTTAGTTTTTCTAGTTTGAGATAGGAGGACAAACTACAGCAGATAGATTGTAGAGCAACAAAAATGACTCGTTATGGCTGTTAAATTTAGTTTAAACTTAATTCTAAAGGCAGATTTAAATTTGTTTATTCTGAATTTAGTTATAATGTTAAATAAAATGTTTAAATTCTGAGAGTAAACTTAAAATTCAAGATATTGAGGGTAAAAACTGTTGTCGAATTTAATAAAATTGACCGTAGAGGTAAAAATGTGATGAGTGGTTTAAAATAAAATAAAAAATGATGAATGTAGTTCTAAGTTAGTCACGGAGTCTTCTTGTTGTAAGAGTTAAGTAGATTCACTACTTTGCTACGATGCTTTTGACTACTGGGGGGAAAGGACGATGGTCACGTCACTTCAGGTATCAAATTAGTCCTCGTTCAGCAAGAAACCCTTTAATTTAATTTATTTTTTTCACATTTTAGTGTTCACTGTAATGTGTCAAAATTAAAATATTGCGCTTGTTAAAGTAGTTTCAAACATCAACCTTGGATAAATAATATTTTAGACGGATAAAAACAACATTAAACTATTAAAAAAACATAATTTTACTGTACTGAGTTTTTGTCATAAGAGTGAATCAGCTCTAGTTACTGTGATAACTGGGCTTTCGACTACTGGGGAAAAGGGACGATGGTAACGGTGACTTCAGGTAAGAATTGAAGAGGCTTATATGTGTTTATATTTCAATAACATGTATCTAAAACTAAATTAGTAACGTATAAATGTAAACTGTTACGGTTTCTGTAAAACAAGCCAATAACATAAAGCGCACAGTTGTTAAAACTGATTATAACTGTGAAAATGTTAAATGTAATTTTAATTTCATTGAGAAAATAGTGATAATAAATACAATTTAAGTACTTTAAGTGAAACGTTAGTTGAAAAGTAGTTTTAGTACTACGAGGTGAGTAGATCCACTACTGTGTTACCACGCAGCTTTGGACTACTGGGGAAAAGGGACGACGGTCACCGTCACCTCAGGTATGAACAGTTTGTTTTAAAATGAGATAAAAGTAAATATATTAAATGTTCACTCAGACATTCAACAGTTTTTGTGCTAATAGATGTTTTATATAACAAAGCTACTTGGTTGCTCAAAAATTTGACTCGATAAAAAAAAAATTTCTGTTTGGCTAAAAGTTTCTGAAAAGGTTTAAATTCTTACCTAAAAATATTTTCCAAACAAAAATAAAATATTTAAAAATTATTTTTGATTTATAATTTTAATGAGCTTTAATTACCTTCTTAAGAAAAGTTATTTTTTATTATAAATACTGTTTTATGGTAACACTATCAAAGGGATTTAAGAGACCAGAAATTTGTGATTCAAGACTCTTAAATGTCTTAATTTCGATTTTAATTCCCTGGCTGATAAAATGGTTCTAGACACTTTAAATGAAAGAAATCAATATTATTCAATTTGCAAAAGTGAAATTGAGGTTTTAGAGTGTTTTGGGTAATTTGACTGGACCTATAAATTATTAATAATAATTATATGTTAAAGATCTGGGTTTACTTTAAGTACATTAGTCGTTTTTATACTGCGACACAAGTAGATGCATCACTGTGTCTACGCTGCTTTTGACTACTGGGGTAAAGGTACAACGGTAACCGTTTCATCAGGTAAGAATTTCTTTTTCAGAGGTAAAATTAAGCAAATGTTTAAAACCTGCTTTGTTTTGTGGCATAGACTTTTTTGTTGTTGTTGTTGTATTTAAGGTCACTAACTTGTTTTATTTATTCTAGGGAATGTTTCATATATCATTGAATTTTTTGTAATTCTATGCATTTTTCTCTTTTTTCAGAGACTTCAAAACCTCCGGTTGTGTTTCCTCTGGTGCCATGTGGCTCTGGGGGCAGTGACACGGTCACTCTCGGCTGCCTCGCCACCGGTTTTACCCCCTCGCCGCTGACTTTCACCTGGAAACTAGACAACACTGCTTTAACGGATGTCATCACATACCCTTCAACGCAGAAAGGCAGTGAATACATGGGGATCACTCAAGTTCGAGTCAGAAGAGCGGACTGGGATGCCAAAAAGCAATTCCAATGTGTCGCAAATAACGCTGCAGGGGAAAGTACTGGTCAAGTTGTAAAGCAAAGTAAGACCTATGCTACATTATAAATTATTGCATTTTATTACTTATTTTGAGCCGTAATTAGTTTATATGTGTCTTACATTCTAGATAAATATGTAGAAATTAACTTATAACTAAATATGTGCAGTTTCTTCAGGTGTAACTTAAGTAATGTGATTACTTACTAATTAATAAGTACTGCTAGTCTGCAGCCTTTAATTGCATCGGTAAGTTTTTTTTAATTTATTTTTTTTGTGTACAGGAAAAAAAGTCAAATATCAACAAGTTATTTTTGTTAAATGTCTCCTACTAAAACAATATGTTCAAAATTTTAAGAGAATGCTTAAATGGGGCAAATGTTTAAAAATGACGCTTATGTTCCGTAAGATAACAATTACATTACACTGTAAAAAAATGATTTAGCTTTTTAGCTTCTGATTGTAAAACACGGAAAGACAAGAAAAAGGAAAATTAAGGCTGTCCAAAAATCTGAGTCTGACCAAATATCTGCTTTCTCCTGAATTTATAATTTTATATACATGATATAGTTATATATGACATATGATATAGTTATATGTAATATATGATAAATGTTACAGTTACATATGATATATGATATAGTTAGATATGATATATGATATAGTTATATATGATATATGATATAGTTATATATTACATATGTTACAGTTATATAATATAGTAAGCAGTTGAAAAATAATGTACATTTGGGATGTTTTTAAACACACACACACATATATATATATATATATATATGGATATATGTATATATATATATATATATATATATATATATATATATATATATATATATATATATATATATATATAGTTTAATAGTTTAACAATTAGGACAGCTTTGTTGTAATTATTGATTTGTTTTAAGTAGGTTTTTTCCTTGCTTTTCTTCTTCCATCTGACTGAATATATTTTTATTTTAACCAATGTCTTGTTTGTCTCCACCTCTTGTAGACTACAGTGGTTTGTTCTGCTTCTTTCTGCCTTAAAATCCTTCTCGTTCCTGACCTGTCTGTTGTTTCGTTCCATTAATAAAATCCACTTTCATCTGCGTTTGCTTGCTAGTAAATGTATATGCAGAAGTGAGCCTTACAGCTCTGATTTTCTATTTTACTATGAAAAAAGTTTTTTTTCACTTCAGCATGAATACATGAGGAGCATCATCACTGGGTGAAAGTCACATGACATCAAGTTGGTTATTCTGTATGAAGCAGTGATGTTTCAGTAGGAACCTGATAGAACGTTGGTCACCAGGGCTTCTGCATATATATGTTTGATTGCTTGCTTCTGCAAACATATATCTGTGTGTTTGTGTGTTTTTCAGACGTGGTTTATTTGGAGCCAACTGTTAGACTGTGTTCCTCCACTAACGAGGAGAAAAAAGAAGCTTACTTCTCCTGCTTTGCCAAAGACTTTTCACCTCATAATTATGAGTTCAGATGGCTGAAAGATGAGGCGGAAATCACCAGCTGGCAAGACCAGGTCATTACTTCATCTGCAGTGAGAAATGACACGAATGGAACCATCCTGTACAGTGCAGTGAGTCTGCTCACACTCAAGACCGAAGGCTTGCACGAAACAACACTTAAATGTGTGTTTAAGGGGAAAGGGGAAAACAACACTGCAGTTTTCCAGAATGACAGCTTTTCCTACAGAGACGCAGCTCGTGAGTATTCTGTCCATACTTTAGTTCATTTGACCTTTATTTTGTGCATTTTGTAATTCTTGTTAATGATTCTTCACTCAGTACCTGTTGGGTGTAACAAAGCAGATGTAAACATAGAGATCCTAGAACCCACAAACCAGGACATGCTTGTAAAACAAGCAGGGAAATTAATATGTAAAGTCAAGGCCAGTGGGGGGAACTATGAGGTCTATTGGGAGGACACCAAAGGAACAGAACTGGTGTCTGCTGTGAAAAACGGGATAGCAGCACACACATATGAAGCTGTGCTTGACATCACCTATAATGAATGGAGTAAAGGGCTGGAGCGAATCTGTGTCGTTCATGGTGAAAACCTCGTGGATCCATTGAAGAAGCTTTATAAAAGGACAAGGGGTAAACTCCATTTCCTCTCGCTGTGAAACCAAAAGCTTTCAGAGAGTCCTCCTCTCAGAACAGTGTCAGTTTTTGTGTCTCGGGCGCTAATTGTTCTCTCATGCTTGCAGGAGCATCGCTTCAGAGTCCAGCTGTCTTTTTGTTGCCTCCAGTAGAGCAAACTAGGAAAAACATGGTGACCCTGACTTGCTATGTGAAAGACTTCTCTCCTAAAGAGGTTTATGTGGCTTGGCTTGTTGATGATAAGCCAGCAGTGCCAAAGTACCAATTCCTGACCACAGAGCCAGTGTTGAGCAATGGAAGCTACTCTGTTTACAGCCAGCTGACCCTCCCCCTAGCAGACTGGCACCAGACTGACGTGGTCTACAGCTGCACTGTTTACCACGAGTCTCTGATTGGCTCAGTGGGATCCATCGTTAGATCCATTGGATACAGAACCAATGAAAACACCAACCTGGTCAACTTGAGCATGAACATCCCCAACATGTGCAAGGCCCAGTAGATGTGTCTCTGTGTCTTCTGTTCTCTGTTGTTTGTGATCATATTGTGTTTGTGTTTTAATGCATATTAAAATCTAAATAAAAAAACAAACAATTAGCAACTGTGTCAGTGTTTGTCGCTTGTTCTTGTCTTTACTTCAACAGTTTTGTATCTGAATGTTTATCTCAACTTACTCTATGGGTACAAATTTAGATATGTGTGTCATTATATACTCAGTCAAAAAACACAATAACATAAAAGTATTTATAACATATTTGCAGCTAGACTAAAAGCATCGATGTTACTTGTCTCTGTGTTGCTGTGTTTCCTCTACTGGGTCTTGCCCTCTGAACAAGACAGACGAGTCTTTAGTGCAATTTTATTTTGTGTTATTTTAATCACACAAAATACAGATGAAACTCAAAAAATGAGAATATATTGCAAAAGTTCATTTATTTCAGTAATCCAACTTAGACTGCGAGACCTTCTAAATGCTCAGGAACTCTTTGCAGATGTTTTGGATTCATTAGCTGATTAGAGCGTTCTCGGCACTTTGAGTCGAGAATATTGAAACTTTTCACAATATTCTAATTGTTCAAGATTAAGAATTTGGGGTTTTCATCACAATTATAACAAATACATGCTTGAAAAATTAAAGAGTCTATCTCATATATTTAGTTGAATTACTGACATAAACAAACTTTTGCACCATATTCTAATTATTTGAGTTTCACCTATATATGTTCACAAGTCAAGTCTCATAAGCCTCACTGATGCCAGTCTCTCTAAAGCAAGTCAGTATCATTACAGAACTCGGTTATTAATTAAAATCTAATTACTGTAAATGAATCATTTTGAGTCAAACCAAACCAGCTTATTTATGGGAAATCAGAGTTTTTGATTAGAGATACCCCCATTCTGACCTTTGTGTGACTTTACATATTAAACTGGTTTAGGGACACTTTAGGATGTTTTTATTTGAGGTTTGATGACAAATATCAGAAGAATTAACTGGTTTAATATTGTGTAGCAAAACATCAGATCCCAGAAAACCTGTTCTCCCACTGCAACAGCACGGTCGACATGGAGACCGAGCAGGATAGCATGGAGAACACAGCACTCACCTTCATCCTCCTCTTCCTCATCTCTCTGCTCTTCACTATTGGAAGTGTCACATTGAAGGTACTCTTGTTAGTGGCACACAGCTTTGAACAGCTTACTTAACCCTTTAAGGTTCCCATAAATATTTTACAATGCATAATAAATGTGTTCAATTCAGTAAGATGGTAGAACATAGGATAAAGTGTGTTACTTTGTTTCAATAAAGTAATACTAAAGAAGTTACAACAATGGGAGGTAATAGGGATTTTAAGACTGTTTTAATGATTTGTTGTTTAATTATTATTTTTTTGTTTATTATTATTTTTCATTTTAGTCTAGAGCTTTAATACGGCATAGGGGCTTAAATGTCATCAGCGCCCCGACCATTGGGCCACTTAGAAAAAAAGACAACTAAAAACCTCATTAAAATAAATTTTACATCCATTTTTTGTGAACACAAATGTCTGCAGGTCAGTTTATTAAAATTAATTATTTATATGACAATATTTCTAACACAACAATAGACATAAAGTGCCTAAATTACACTGGTACTGATTAAAATCATTTTATGCTGTTGGCTTCTTTTTAATATGCGTATCGACCCCCCTACTGGTTATCTAGAATGGGTCGGGGACAACGTCACCACCTGGTTGCCCAGAATGGGAACCAGTTAAACAACATAATAGAATAATATAAGTGTAATTATTTAATCATTTATTGAAGTAATTATTTAACCAAAAATTCTGTTTAATAAAAACCATGTGAATGTTTTCTAGAGCTGTTATGGTTCTACTCACAGCTGAAACGTAACTCAGACTTAATCCTGTTTGTTTGTTAAACATCATCAGATAAAACTGTTGGTGTTTAATAAGATTGGCTTTAAAACATCCTAACATGACTTAAAGTGTAGAGGATGACAGAAATATAATCATATTATATTATATTATATTTATTATATTATATTGTATTATATTATATGTATTAAATTATATTATATTATATTATATTGTATTATATTATATCATATTGTATTATATAAAATTACATCATATTATATTGTATTATATTATATTATATTGTATTATATTGTATTATATTAAATTATGTTATATTATATTATATTATATTATATTATATTATATTATATTACATTATATTATATTATATTATATTGTATTATATTATATTATATTATATTGTATTATATTGTATTATATTAAATTACATTATATTATATTATATTATAGTATATTATATTATATTATATTATATTATATTATATTTTATTTTATTATATTATATTATATTATATTATATTATCCATCCATCCATCCATCCATCCATTTTCTGAACCTGCTTGTCCACGCAGGGTCGCGGGGGGGCTGGTGCCTATCTCCAGCGGTCAATGGACAATCAGGCGGGGTACACCCTGGATAGAGTGCCAGTCCATCACATTATATTATATTATATTATATTATATTATATTATATTATATTATAGTATATTACATTACATTATTTTATATTATATTACATTATATTATACTATACTATATTATATTATATTATATTATAGTATATTACATTACATTATATTATATTATATTACATTATATTATATAATGCATGGTGGAGTAGTGGTTAGCACTGTT